GTTCCCCGGAACCCCGTGGTGTCCCAACAGACTCCGTCTATCGTGCCTATGTCTAGTTTGATGTTCGGGTACTGTTCGTAGGTCGAATGAGTCTTATATATTGCATGCTAGTTGAATTGGTATCCCGTTAACCTAGGTGAAAGAAGTATGAACCCCTTAGGACTATTCTTAAAATGTGAAGGATCACGCATAGGTTTTGTTATACGTTTTCTCCCCTTCCCAATGTGCTAATGTGGGTTGCATGTGCTTGCTATGTGTTATGTGTGCATGTTACCCCGATTTCGTTGAGATCAATCGGGCTATACGGGCAGTCGGGTGGGCTGAGAACCATACCGGCTGTTAACCAGGCTGGTAGAGACCGGTCAGGTATATAAATATTATATAGGACTAAGGTCCACTATACGGGCAGTTGAATGGGTTGAGAACCATCCCAACTGTTAACCAGGCTGGTAGAGACCGGTCAGGTATATAAATACTATATAGGACAAAGGTTCACTATACGGGCAGTTGAATAGGTTGAGAACCATCCCAACTGTTAACCAGGCTGGTAAAGACCGGTCAGGTATATAAATATTATATAGAGCTGCTGCTCATCGGTCGGTTGCGATCGACCCCTCCGTAGTGTGAGACAGGGCAGGGTGCTGCGGGGCCGTGTCAGAGCTATATGCGCTGACCCTCTTGTATGGGCATGCGATTGGTCCTGTGGCGCCAACAAAGTGTGCTATATGATGAGATAAGAAGGATTGATGTGGTGACTGTTATAGGGCTCTTGCTAGAAACGCTTAATTGTGATTATTAACTATGCTTATCTTATCTGTCTTGCCTGTTGTAAACTGTATATGCTTGGTATAACTGCTGTCTGTGCTTAGCCCTATCTGTTGAGTCTATCCCTGTTTTAAAAGTTAGAGTTCGTAGGATATACCTCCATGTTCAAAATGGTTTTCGTATATATATATATATATATATATATATATATATATATATATATATATATATATATATATATATATATATATATATATATATATATATATATATGTATTGTACTTCAACGCGTTGGAGTGGGTTACCAGCATCTCTCACTGAACAGATATATTTGGCTTTCAGGCACAGAAGAGTAAGTCACTGGAGCGCGCTAGAACTTGGAGCGTAGAAGTAGATAGTTTCCCTTTCGGCCTGCGTACCACGTTTATGCATTTACATTATTGAGGATATTAGTTAGTTAGCCTGTGCACCTGAGTTCTCTAGCTTAGGTGTGGCATAGCACCCCGTACTCTTGTATTATACTTTGGGATTTAATGAGATTTCACCTTTACCTTATAAGTTTTAAATATCTTGAAAATCTGGGGTGTTACACATATTGTAGAATATTTTTGCATCTCAAGTATATCATGTTTTAAAAAGTGCATAAGTAGCCAACGTGAGCCCAAGTATTACTTTCAAAATCCATAAGCATGTGATATATCATTACTTGATGCATTTGAGAAGTTGTTGAGTTGTGGCATGCATGAGATTGATGCATGAGAGATATATTTATGTATTATATATATCAGTGAGGTTTTGGAGGACCCCGTTTGGACTATGTCCTCTTGGATGATTTTATGGATATTGCGGTCCCAGTATATGTAACGCGGTGTATTCCCACGTTACGAGGTTGGAAACTGCCCGCCAGGCTTGGAATCCTGGTCAGGGGGTGTGCATGCTAATAGTTCGATACCTGATTCCACAGAGTTTGAGCATTGAACCAAGAGAGTGGTTCGGTGGACGAGCAGAGTTGTAACGCCCCCTAAATTCCATGTTATTTAAAGCCTTAACACATGCAGATATCTAAACCAAAACATCAAACACAGCGGAAGACTGAAAGAGGAAATATATAGACTGGAAGTAAAGGGGTGCTATGCCACGCTCACCCAGGGGTGAACGCACAGGCTAACATCTGCATTATTCAACATCTAAAAACCAACATAACAAAGTACTAAGTCTAAATTGGCTCACAGGCCACAAAACATAAGGGAGGAGCTACACTAGCTGGGACTAAACCGCGCACTCATCTAAGCATCACCTGAAAGAAACATATAAAACATGGGACGACGCCCGGTCAGCCATTGCAATCTTAGCCCGCGTGCACCTTCCCACATCTACGACACGGAAATAACTTAGCTTGATTCCCTTGCTCCATCCGGTTGGGTACTTGAGTCGAAGATGACACATTCTTAGCTTGAAAACTCGGTCGTGACTTCTTGAAGGTGGAAGAGCCTCCACTCTCGGTCCTCTTCCTCGCTTGCTCATAAGATCCTCGCTGAAGCTGTTGAACACGGTACAGATCCGCGGCTCTCAGATAAGCATCCTTAAGAGAACTCGACCTGCTCACAGTCAAAGCTTTTCGTGCCTCATAATTCAAGTCGGTAATGAATTTTTCGACCTTAGCGAGCTCCGTAGGCACGAGCATCCGAGCAAAGCGCGCCAACTCCAAAAACTTCTTGTGGTACTCGACCACAGACAGAGATCCTTGCTGCAGGTGGAGGAACTCCTCGTACATGGCGGCTCGCACGTGTGCCGGGTAAAACCTCTCGCGCATCCTATCCTTAAGCGCAAACCAACCGAACTCAGGTTCCTCAAGGAAGGTCGGACCCTCATGAATCCACCACAGATCAGCTTCATGACAGAAGTAGAACGTTGCCAGTTCTACCCTTCTCTCCTCGGGACAACCCACAACCGTGAAGATCTTGTCGAACACTCTCATCCATTCTTCCAAAACCACCAGGTCTTCCCGCGAAGGTCGGCGGCCTGTGACCCGACACCAAACAACCCATAACCTTGTGCCCAGCAGGTTGAGGAGGTGGCACGGGGTGGTTGTTGTTCAGCAAAGCCTCGCTAAGCGTCTGCATCGCTGTGTCAACTGTTGCAGGTTCTGAGCAAGCTGCTCGTTCGTCGAGGTCTCCGGGGTACGCGCTTGTGGATGAGGAGGCATCGCAAACTTCTACAACAACAACACGGTTACCAAAAAGACAACAAGCAAGCAAATAACTGAAAGCAACACTCAGCTCACTGCGCGACCTAGAGTCCTAAGCCTAACACTTAGATTCTTAAGGTCACTTTAAGGTCTCAAACCACACTTAGCCACTTAGAAAGTCTAGACTTAACCCTCCTAGGCTCAAACCTAGGCTCTGATACCAACTGTAACACCCCCTAAATTCCATGCTATTTAAAGCCTTAAAACATGCAGATATCTAAACCAAAACATTAAACACAGCGGAAGACTGAAAGAGGAAATATATAGACTGGAAGTAAAGGGGTTCTATGCCACGCTCACCCAGGGGTGAATGCACAGGCTAACATATGCATTGTTCAACATCTAAAAACCAACATAACAAAGTACTAAGTCTAAATTGGCTCACAGGCCACAAAACATAAGGGAGGAGCTACACTAGCTGGCACTAAACCGCGCACTCGTCTAAGCATCACCTGAAAGAAACATATAAAACATGGGACGACGCCGGGTCAGCGAATAATGCTGGTAACCCACCAATACATGTGAAATATCATACATAGATAAGATATAAGTTGTAAAGTCATTTTCGGAACGGAATACATATATATATATATAAGTTCAAAACCGAGAGTAATAGTCAACACAAGACTCAAACACTCTCAACAAGAACACGGGAACACATCCCAAGACTACAAGGAACAACAACGACTCACAAGAAGTCTCAAGGTATAATCAATAGATTAACACCCGACATGCATAACTCAAAGGAACAAGGACACACCAAATGGCAACACATGCCTTTGTGACTACACACGTCACAAGAAGAGAACTCACAACAACGGCTACACAAGCCCTCGTGACATCACCCATCACGAGTTGATATGCCTTCCTTATGCCCGGTTCCAACCTTATGGCTACCCCCAACCTTATAGCTAGTTCCAACCTTTACCTCCAGGACCCCTGTACAACCAAGTCCAACCTTTTCCATCCGAGGACTGTCGTCCCCATCCGCCGACAAACCGCCAACAAAACCACCGATTTCATAGTACACGAGGGTATCAATCACACACACGGCAACACATGCCTCCCAAGAAATACGTGAACCTGACACACAGGTCACAACTCCATAATCACGTCATGGCCACCACGAGGACCACTGCAATACCTTGGTGACTAGTGTCCCATACCACTAATCGTGCAATCCAGGTAAAGCCACACACACATCACACCTTAACAGGAATCAATCAACGGATCACAACGAAGATATGAAACCATACTCAATCAAGGAATGGGTCACAGCCCAACAACAACAACGATGAATAACACAAGTTATCATCAACCAATAAGAAGGTACAAACAACACACACGCTAGTATTTACACACCGAACTAGCATGCTTATCAAACGGGTAAACCAAACGTAGTTTCGAAGAACACACAAGACGCATCACGGTTCAACGAAACACAATGTTGAACACTTAGCACGATTCAAGACACCAAAACATACATGGATACCTACCACATAGTTCTAGACATAGGAAACATCAAGAAGACGCTCAAATAGTTCCACAAAAGAATATCGGAAAGTCAAAAGACCAAATACCGAGTCAAAAGAATCACGGGGAACAAATCCCCAACCAACCACACATCGTACCCCACGGGTAGGCCCCTACCCACGGTTCCGCCCGCGGGTACATACCCACAAGGCTCTTGTACCCCGCGGGTGGGCGACGGGTGGACGCCTACCCGCCGTTCTGCCCGCGGGTACGTATACCTGCACAAAATAATCCCTTCGGGGATTTTCAACTCCAAGCTCAAATTCAAGTCCAAAACATGCCAAATCTCACCAAATAGAACAAAATCACTTGAATCAAAGGAATAGCCAAGCAATGGCATACATGAACCCTAATAACAAGCTCTAGATATGCATCTTCACAAGACAATGCATCAACACTCACATTTCATAGCAAAATCACATGTAGAATCCAAGAAATCATCATATAGGAAAGCAAAATAGATTTTGTAGAGCATGGGTTACCTCTTGAAGACAAAAATCTTCTCTTAACACCTCACCAAGCTCCTAACAACAAGAACACACCAAAAGATCATAAAGATTCTATCTTTAATAAAAAAAAAAAAAAAAAAAAAAAAAAAAAAAAAAAAAAAAAAAAAACACCTTAGAAAGCACTAAAAACACAAGATGAACATGGATCTTACCCTCCTATATGCCCAAATGTATGAAAGGTAGAATCTTGGAGACAACTCTTGAAGTTTTGACAAAGCTTCAACTTGGCTTGGAAGAAAAGCTATCTACCTTTTTAGAGAGAAGGTAGAGCTAGAATTTTGGAAAGTGTAAGGAGAGAAATGAGGGTGTTCTACTAGGTTAGCTTACAATACTAATACAAGGTGAAAAGTCAAGAATACCCTTACTAACATGAAGAGGTGTAAGGGAACAAGGGAACTCCTTACAAAGCTTAAGGTACAACCTTGACTTTGGGGTTGACTAGTCAATTACTAGTCCCCGACTATTGAATTTTCAGGATTTTAGGAATTAAATTACCAATTGAAATAGGATTAATTATTTAATTAATCACTTAATCGAATTTGGATTTCGGGGTGTCACAAGAGTATTAGGTCGGCTAAACGCCGTGCCCGGATAGGTTCATTCACACTATGGTGAAGCTCCTACCTCGTCCATTTAAAGAGAAAGAGTGAGTCATTGCGACTCTAAGAAAGAAAGAAGTGAGTCATTGCGACTCTAAGAAAAGCAAGAAAGAAAGCAAGTCATTTATGACTCAATGAGACCTCCACAGAAAGTATTCAATTTTACAAACGAGTGTATCAGTATACTTATAGTATTGCACGAGATTGCATTTGAGTATAATTATAGTTTTGCACGAGATTGCATTTGAGTATAGTATTGCACGAGATTGCATTTGAGTAGAGTATTGCATGAGATTGCATAATGAGAATGATGAATCAAGATTGTATATCTAGCATGATTGTTTTAGTTACACTTTGAAGTATTGTATAACCTGATTGCATGATGAAAACTTGAAAGCATGAGGACAACTTTCGTTTGGTTTATTAGTATGAAATTACTTGTAAGCATGAGTTCATTTTGTTAATGTTGTTGTGATGTTTATGTGTTGGAATATCTATGTCGTTGAGTCATTTGTATTAAAGCATGCTTGTTAATATTATAGGTTGTAAGCATATATAATGTCTGAAATGTATCTAAATTGCTTTTGTGATGAGATTGTTGATTATGAATGTGATCAAATGATTTTTCCAAAGTATATTGTATAGTAGTTTACAGGGTTGAGTGTGATTATACTTAGCTTCGTGCTAATGGGGGTGATGGAATTAATTAAATCGGGGGTCCGACTTAATTAACCCGAATAAGAATACGAATAATGGATAAGTAATACAGACGATATAGCAAAGGCCGTTGGCTAGCTCCGTGACCTAGTCTGGTGCACAGACATTGTGCACTAGAGGGATTTCTTCTCCACCTACAACAATTTTGAGCAATCCAACACTCCAAATCCTCAACAACACAATCATAGATCAACAATAGATCACTACTAGCTCAACAACATCAACAATCTAGCATTTCTAAGCATTTTCACTAACATTTTGACTTCACAGAGTCATAAAGAAAGAGGTGGGAGTCCATGGGTTATACCTTTATTGTCTCTTCTTCTTGTTGGGATTCCTCCTTCTTCCCAAGTCAGCCATTACCCTCTTCACCATCGATACACCTCAAACAAGCCACACAACAACCTTAAGGACTAGATTCTCAGAGATGAAGGCTAGGAGAGGAAGTTAAAAGAGAGGAAGATGAATGGATGAGATTGGCCTAGAAAACTTACTGTGTTTTCTTTGGTTTTCTTGCAGAGCTCTTGGTGGGGAAGACAAGGATGGAATCAAGAGGCAATGTCTGATAACTATTCATTTTATAGTGGCTCTAAACCATAGGAGAATCAACAATGATTGGTGGAGGGAAAACTGGTAATTTGGTGGGAGTTCTAAAAATATCAGACAAGGGTGGAGTCTAAGGGTTCACCAAGCTTCATGGACCAAAGTCTAGAATTATGATTTCAAATAGTTTGGGGGTCAAAATACATTTTTCCAAAAATACTTTCTAGACCACCACTTAGTTTAGGTTTATCATATTTCTCCCGGTTTCACTCAGATTGACTTTTGGATAAAAAACGTGGTACGCAATGTACCCGAGAATTCAGGATTTTAGAATTAAAATAAGTCCTGGTGTTGAATTCATTTAAAATATAACTCAAAATAATTTATTCAAACACCGTTTTTATCACAAAAATTTTGGTAGAATGAAAAATAGCTATTTTGGAATTTCTTAAAACTGAATTTTTAAAATTAAATTTTGGGTTGTCACAGATAAGCACTACTGTTATGTACATAGCCAATAAAGATACAGTCCACCGTCTTATGACCTATCTTTACTTTCTTAGGTGTTGGCATCAAAACTTTAGCAAGACACCCACACACTTTAGGTACTGGTAGGAAGTTTTCCTACCGTTTCACAGCTCATAAGGAGTCTTATCGAGCTTCTTACGGGGTACCTTATTTAAAAGGTAATTACTTGTCAAAATCACCTCACCCCACATACCTTGAGGTAGGCTCGAACTTATAAGCATCGCATTCATCATATCTTTCAATGTACGATTCTTTCGTTCGGCAACACCGTTCGATTGAAGTGCGTAAGGTGTCGTACGCTCGTGTATGATACCTACACTAACACATAAGTCATCAATCAGTGCTTTGTACTCACCACCTCTATCGCTTCTAACCTTCTTAATCCTCCGATTAAGTTGGTTTTCAACTTCATTCTTATAAAGAACGAATTTATCAACGGCTTCATATTTTCTCTTAAGCAAATACACATAGCAGTATCGAGTGTTATCGTCGATAAACGTGATAAAATACTTATTACCACCTCTCGTTTGTATCGATCTAAAATCGCACAAATCACTATGGATTTATTCTAGTGGTTCACTCTGCCTTTCAACCGATTTGAAAGGTGTTCTCGTTAGTTTTGCCTCAGCACAAATTTCACACTTGTTATTTGTGTTAATTTGAAAGTTAGGAATATGGTGCATGCTAATTAATCTACGTATAGAATTAAAATTAACATGACCTAGTCTACCATGCCACAAATTGGAAGACTCAAGCAAGTAAATATAATTAACTTTGCTTTTATTGATAACAGGAATTACACTGAGCTTAAAAAGCCCATCAGTTACATATCATTTACCAACAAACATTTCTAACTTAGACAAAACAACCTTGTCTGACTCGAACACCATGCAGAACCCATGCTTGTTCACCAGCGAGCCAGACACAAGATTCTTCCTCAGCAGAGAACATACAACACATTGTTCAACGTCAGTTCCTTCCCGAAAGTCATCTTCAGAACCACTTTGCCCGAGCCTTCCATAACAGACTGAGCAGAGTTTCCCATCCACACCTTTTCACTCTCAACGGTCTCAAAGGTGTTGAACATCTCTCAGTTGTAACATAAATGCCTGGTTGCACTGGTATCGATGAACCACTCGCATGGGTTAGAACCCACGAGGTTCACCTCAGTCACTATAGCCGAAAGGCTAATCTCGACCTCCTTCTGACTGCTTTCTCCAACAATACAAACAACACACAACCTAAGAAAAGATCTCAGAGATTGAAATCTAGGGTGGAAATCTTAAGGAAAAAGAGATGAAGGGATGAGATGAAACCTTACTGCCTTTGCTTTCTTTCTTTTACCGAGCTCAGAAAAATGGAGAGGCAAAAGAAGAGGATCAGGAGAAGCAAGATGAGATGGTTCTATTTATATGGGTGCAAAACCCTAGGTAGATCACCAATGATTGGTTGATGACAAAATAGTAATTTGGTTGAGTTCTACAAAATATCAGGCAAGCTTGTGGTCTATCTTACAACATGGACCATAGTCTAGGAATGAGATTTTAAATAGTTTGGGGTCAAAATACATTTTTCCAAAAATACTTTCTAGACAACCATTTAGTTTAGGTTTCTCAGATTTCTCCCGATTTCACTCAGACTGACTTTCGGATCAAAAACTAGGTACGCAATGTACCCGAAGATTTAAGTTTTTTAGATTTAAAATAAGTCCCGATGTTGAATTTATTTAAAAGTGGTTCAAAATAATTTATTCAAACACCGATTTTATCGCAAAAAAATTTGGAGTTGCTCTACTATTGAGGTTGCTCTAACGGTGTTGCTTTTACAATTGTCGTTGAATATTATGCCCACTAAATTTCCGATCCATTGGAAACTAGTGGCAGTTGCAAACCACCACTAAATATTACGATGGTTAACAAACCACCACTAAATAGTAGAGTGGTAGCAGTTGTGATTTAGCAACATTTTTTGTAGCCATTTTTTAAAATCACTGCGGAACGACACTGGTATAGACAACATTTTTATAAACATCTAGCAGTTGTCTAAAACCATTCTCAATGTACTCAAAAAACTTCTCTTTGCATCATATAAAGAACAATTCAATTCATTGATATCTAGAAGCATTTTTGCAAACAAACATATAGGAGGTCATTAAAACTTGTATCACTCCAACTATATTTTCCTTTCAAGCTATATTTTTTCACCTTGTAAATGTACTACATCTAGAATATAAAGGTTTCTCTATCTCTCCAATTAATTTATTGAATTTGTTGAGATCCTTAGCGTATTTATTATATATATGTAATATGTACCATATCTATAGGCTCTTCATCAAAAAAATAATAATAATAATAATAATAATAATAATAATTGCTCTCCTTGCCTAACTTGATCATTATCATCCATTTGAGTTACGTGGACTTCTCCGCATGCCATATCCATGAGACATATGTACAATCTATACCATTATTACAATACAAGTGCGCCATTATGGTATCAAAATATTGCTTTCTTAGATTACCACATATTATACACGGACATGATATTGATTAGGATCCACAACATTTTGTATTGCAAATTGCAAGAAACATTTACTCCAACCTCATATTCATAAGATAATATATCTCTTGACATCCCTTCTTTGTCCATTTTTATACTGATTAACATTCACCAAATATTTTCTATACCAAGAAAATCATCAATCAATATCCACTATTACAAAGTTTGTGTACTTGTGCAACTATTAACATTCATAAGCCAATAACTTAGCCAAGTCAGATCATTCAATCTTGTTAATGCATTTCAAATTACTAATTAAGTACATTGCATATATACACAATTTTAATGGTACTCATAATTATATTAATTAAGTCCTCATGTAGTCATGTCATCAAATATTAATGAACATCATGAACACATAGCTACCTAGATAACCTACATCCATGAACATATAATCCATATTAAGATAGATAAAGAACCACAAAATGGTATTGGAGTTGGATCAACCAATAATCATCAGAAATAGAAACAGAGTTTTAACACATCTTCCTGGTAGATTGATATTTAGTAGGGATTAATCAAATTATGAATTTAGGGATTAATGAAATTATAAATTTAGGGATTAATGGAATTAGGAATTGATGGATTTAATTAATTTGGGTGGTCTGAATTATTAAACCCGATAAATGAAGGAAATAATAATTGTATAATAAAACGGTTAACATAACAAGAAAACGATTGATACAGGTCTCGGAGACCAAATATTGTATTGATTCGTAGTTGCAAAGCTATTACAAAGGAAGTGTAATGCTATTGCAAGAATTGTTTAGACAAGAGAATGTGTAGATGTCTTAATGAGACAAAATCAACACTTTTATACCCAAAAGAATCCCGTAACCGTCCCCCGCCCCCCCAAAAGAGGAGGGACTATTACAACCGCCCTTGACCGCGTCCAGGTTTGGCCAAGCCCCAGGCCAAGACGGCAATTTATATCGTGCACCAGGGCGCGCATTGCATTGTGCGCCCTGATGCAAAACGACGTCGTTTTACATAACTATATAAAAAAATACACATAATTGTATAAACAAATACACATAATTGTATAAACAAACACACATAACTGTATAAAAAATACACATAATTGTATAAACAAATACACATAATCACGTCAATTCCCTTTCGCGCCTCCCAAAACGACGTCGTTTTGGGAGGCGCGGGGCGCAGAGTGCTGTGCGCGCCGTGGTGCAGGGTATAACGATTGGGCCAAGACCACTGACAGGGCTTGGCCGGGGCTTGGGTCGAGGCCCCATGGGCTAGGCCATAGCCCAAGCGACCCGGGTCAAGCACGGGGCTCGACCTCGAGGCCTCGGGTCTTCCGCACTCCACATCTCCGGGTCGGTTTCTCCATTTTTAATATGTCCATAAGGAATTTAGGGTTATGGTTTAAGATTTTGAATAATAAAAGAAGGAATAAGGGTCATATAGGCCATAGAACTACACACAATAATGCAATTAGGCCACCGAACCTTAAAAAAACAACAATTGAGTCCCTAAACTAACCAATTTCTTGCAATTAGTCCAATTTACAGGGCTTTCATGTTACTAACAGGTCACTACATATTTAAAATATTTTTTAAAAATAATTATTTTAAAAAAAAATCGTCTCTACCGGAGACGAATAAACTTTCTTCATCTCCGGCCATGAAGACGAAGAGACCTTCGTCTTCGGCCAGAGACGAAAAGGTTTCAATTCTTCGTCTCTGGGCGAAGATGAAGAAACTTTCTTTGTCTCCGGGGAGACGGTTTTTTTTTTTTTTTTAAAGGAGTGGGTGCCAAATTTTAATCCTAAGATGGTCAGAACTGAGAAATTGCTAGCGTGGGTTCGCCTTCTGTCATTACCAATTGAGTACTTGGTAAGTTTGCACGCATCTGTGTTGAGATTGATATTACTAAACCGCTGTTGTCCAAATTTAAATCTGGAAGATATGGTTTGTCCGGTGGAGTACCAAGGTTTGCACTTGGTGTGCTTTAAATGTGATGTTTATGGCCACAAAAAAAGAACAATGTGGACAAGAAAGCAAGATGCATGCAGCAACAGAGACCAGTAAAGATGGTGATGCTATATGATCTTTGAAACTGAAGGGGAACATACGCACGAACCAGCTAGCTCTCATCAAGAAGGATAACCCCCCGACGAATCCAACAAAGATAAATACGGATGTTAGATGATAGTTAAGCGAAAGGCAATCGTTATGTCATGGAACCGTGTTCATCATTCATGGTGAACACGGTTCTAACGGTGTTAGTACACGGTTATCTTTTTTTTTTTTTCTTTTTCTTTTTTTTTTTTTTAATTAATTGTGTGACTTTTCTTCTTCATTTTCACATTTTGCGGTTTCACTTTAATTTGAGGTGACCAATGATTTCGGACATTCATAAATTATGAATTCATGCCTGCACATTCACTTTGGAACCATGTCTACACATTCCCGTCCGAAATCACGGACATTCATAAATTATGAATCCATGCCTGCACATTCACTTTGGAACCATGCCTACACATTTACTTTGGAACCATGAGATTATGAATTTTCTGTTATAAGATTATGAATTTTCAGTTATGAGATTATGAATTTTCTGTTATGAGATTATGAACTTTCTGTTATGAGATTATGAATTTTCTGTTATGAAATTATGAATTTTCTGTTATGAGATTATGAATCTACATTACATTGATAACCTCATAACAGAAAATTCATAATCTCATAACAGAAAATTCATAATTTAATAAATATTTTACTTTTATGAGATTATGAATTTTCATTACATTCATAATCTCATAACAGAAAATTAATAATTTGATCAAACGGGTGCCGTTAACTCCACATCCGCGATTTTTTTTTTTTTGCATAAAAATAACGGTCGTTTGGACTTGTATTCACCATTCACGGTGAACACGTTTCCAGGCATAATTTGCGAGCGACAGGAGCGTAGACCCCCAAGGAAACCAGAAGTGAAAAGTAATCAAGAAAGACGGCCTCCAACCGATAAAATACACGGGTTGGCAAATCATACCATTTACAATAATCAACTGTTTAACTCTCGCTTTGGGCGATATGGATGAAGATATGCACGAGGGGGAGGCAGCCTATCCTGCTAGCTAGGTCCCAGAGGCAACAAGAAATGGCACCACTCATGGTGTCACCAAAGACACATCCTATCAAAGATGAGCCACCAGCAAACTGCTTAACCTAAGGAACTCCAGATTCCATGGATGCCACAACCTTCAAGCTTGAGAGGCAGAGGTAGCAGAAGTAGCACCCCAAAGAGGGCAGCGCAGCTGCTGAGTTCGACCATCAGGTGGTTCGGGGCTCTGCTAGGTGGGGCAATACATATAAATATAAGAAAATTTGTACTTATCTATGTATGTGTGCCTTAACAAAGGAGGGAAAAAGTAATATGCTAAAAAAAGATAAAACACCGAAATGAGCAAACTTGACAAATTACACAATGTTGTGTGAATCATAACAAAAAATACATTTTTAATATACTAAAAGTACATTATTCGTTTACTAAATGTACGTTATATAAAATAATATATTTTCAGTACTCAAATAATGTACATTTTTAATATACAAAAAGTATATTATTTGTGTACTGAATGTACATACAGTTGTGTGGACCATGATTGAGCAAACTAGCAAGACAACAACAACGTTAGAGAGCAACAAAAAGCAAAATAAAACATCTATTAGACATCCATGAAATGCAAAACACATGCATGAAAGGTGGGATCACAAGAACTGAAAAAGGTCAAGATTAATTCTTTATACAACATTTAGTCACCTTTGGATGGCAAACAACCTTAGAAGTTTCTATAAAAGAAAAAAGAAACAAAGTCTTTGAAAACATTAGGTAACAATCCTTAAAATAACCATTGTACGTCATCATAAACACGTAAACAAAATTTGCATGATATGATTTAATAACAAATTAAAACTTTTATGTTTTACAATTCATGAGACATAACAACAAAAACATACTTGAGAGAGTTAATTAAATTAGTAAGCCCAACAAACAACATTAGATGATTAGAGGGGCATGCACCGCGCTTCAAAACGACGTCGTTTTGTTTAATAAAAAGAAACGGCACCCGTTTTGTACCGTTCCGCAAAAAGTAACTCTACTATTCAGTTTCATTTTGTATATACTGCAGTTTCAGTTCAACACAACTACATTTTCATTCCACATTTATACACTCAAATCAATAATCTTGATGAAATTCATAAGAGTGAATTATCGAGTAATAATAATAACTTATATTTAATATTTAATGTAAAAAATCTCCTCCGAAATGAATTTAATCCAATCAAATTCAAATAATTCAAAAGTTGAGTCCAGCTAAAACTAAGCTAGACCTAACAAGTAGATTATCACATTATGGCCGATATAATTAGGCTTGTGTAATAATGGCATTGCCCTATCATCTCAAGCAATCATTATACCGTGGAGGCGTGGACTATGGTCCACCACTAACATCAAGTTCATTTTTAGTATATTGAAAATTTTCATTTTTAATACATTAAATGTTCATTTTAAGTATATTACCTAAAAGTAAACTTTCAGTATATTAAAATAAAATAAATTTTTAATATAATAAAAATAAACATTTATCAGTGATCCACATTACAATGTAAAACATGGTGCATTGTATAATTTGCCTACCGCAAGAAAATTAAAATATCATGATTATAAGATTGGGGACCACAATCCTAACCAAAAAAAAAAAAAAAAAAAAAAAATCAGAACCTGTCAAAATTTCAGATAAAGAGCATTGGATGCATAATCCAAAAACTTTCAACCACGGCCAACCAAATTAAAACTACTCCTGCCTCAGTTTATCCATACACACATCTTAAAAGTATTGAAAAAAATGAATCTTGCACAGATGTTTAAACTGCATGCATATTTATCACTAATTTTATCGTGTTTGAATGAAAGAAAAATTAAAGTAAATGGAGTTGAAAATCATGGTATGTGTAGTATAAAACAAATCAACCAGCCTTTATCTTCTTTAATTTCTCTACCTTTTGAATTGGTTTCATGGCCACCATCTACAATTCTCCCTTCCCTCACTGCACCATCATATCTGCTCCATCATCTACCACAAGAAGACCAGTGAATAAAACTGATATCTCATTGCTGCCAGTTTCTCATTTTACAAGAAGAGATTTCCCAAGGACAAGAGTGGCTGTTTCATTCCCTGCTGGTAATTTAACTAATGCAGATTACTTGGAAACAGAATTCAGTGGGCATGAACATGGAGTCACCTTCACTCAGATAAGCGACAGCTGTGTGGTGCGGATGGCGTTAGAGAGTGGAAGTGTGGCCAATATTCTGCTCCCAAGTGGTTTGATCACTTCATACAAAGCTGAAATGTGGCATGGGGGTGTTTTGGAGATTTTGCATACCTCTGTGTCACAAGGGGAGGAGGAAGATGGCAGTGCTGTGATTCAAGGAGGAGTATCCGTAGCCGTTGATTGCAGCAATGATCAAGGGCTCTCATGGTCTCCAAAAACTTGGGCTTTTCACCAACTTAAAGGAAGTCCTAAAGAAGACTTCATTCAGGTCCAATATAATATAATTTCTTTGCAAATTTTGTAGTATTCACTGTCTTTGAAGTAAATGGCACACCATTTTTAAGCTTCGGGATCCTTAAAGAGTGTTTAAAAAGTTGCAGGTAGAGCTGATCAGCAAGAACACAGAGGCAAATGTTGAAATCAAGCATATTGTTACTCTGAAACAATATTGTCTAAAGTCGGAGATACACATTTTCAATCACAACACTTCACCTCTCAGAATGTCGGGATCAGTTCTTGGCCACCTGACAGTAAGTACACCAGAAGCAACCTATGCTGTGGGACTGGAACACTCTGATTTCATCAATCGACCTCCATTCTCAACTGGGACTGGAATCATTCCACCGGGTTTTGGAAAAAGAAAGAATCAGACTTCCAGCAACTTCTGGGATCCTGCAGGAATTTTTTCTAGATCACATACAAGAAATGCAGAGGAAAAAGCTGAGGGAGAATCAGAAGATGAGATAGAGGGTGAAGAAACAGATAACTACAAGTGCTTGACAGATGAAATGAGCAAAATTTACAGACATGCTCCTAGAAACATTACAATCATTGATAGGGTATGTTATCCTGATTTATTAGTAAAAATAGTAACATGCATTTCCCCAAGTATATGTTATTCCTTAAACTGATAAACACAGTCTCAAATTATTATTATTATTTTTTTTTTTTTGTTCAGGGTAGGAGAAACTCAGTGATAGTGGGAAGGGAGGGGTTCAAAGAAGTATACATACTCAGTCCAGGTTCAAAACATGAATCGTACGGGAAATATGCTTACATTTGCATAGGACAAGCTGCTGTGCTGGAACCAATCATCGTGGAATCTCAAGGTGAATGGAGAGGAGTGCATCGTTTACACAATCCAAATACCTGATGTCCTGATCCACCCACCATTTCTTTACGCTGTATATGTTCTCAGAATAACACGTGAAATCCACTAGTCTGGTTCTAAATTTAGATCCAAGCTGTTCACTTTCAATAGATAAAACCTTTCATTCTTATTGTTCACCTTCAAACCTGATGCTTGACAGGGAATAGCAGAAGTTGTTTGCATTTGCAGTAAAGTTTACTAATAGCATATTTAAAAGCAAACACATATCTGGTTGAAATATATGAATCTCCAAACACATCGTGTATCATCAAAAGATTTGTTTACTCAAGCAGGCTGTCAATATACAGAAAGAAAGCAGTCTACTTTACAATTGTTAAATCTAAAGACTGACTGCATCTCTTGGGGATTTATATAAACTATGAGACGACGTGAAAACTAATTAAGCTCCTTTCCCAAACTCTATCTTGCAGTCCCCAGCTAAAGTGTTTATAGCACAAATTGCTCCCTTCCAAAATTTGTTTTCCATTTCTTCACCTGCCATTATACAATATGCAGCTATTGTTTGAGAGCAGCTCAGGCATAAATACACAAGAGTTCCATAATTAAAATAATCCTTTCCCAACTGTGCTCCAGTCCAAAAACATTAGAGCACCATGCACAAGAACAGCAGCATGTCTGATCAGTGTGGTAACTGTCTGCAGGTTGGACAGTACCACTTGCCTTTAAATCTAGTCTCAGGCGTGAGCCCAACACATGCATAATGGAACCATTCACCTCCTTGGCACTGCCAATCAAAAACTAAGGTTAGGTCTCATGACACAAGATCATATACACCAGTATTAATTACATATCACTAGTAACATGTACAAGTCTGAACCATAAAGCGTTCTAACTGAAAACAGAATTATTTACTCATGCTAAATATAATATCTACAATCTGTAACATTCTAGGCATATTCTTTCTGTGTATCATACTAACAAAATCGATCGTGTTAATCTTCTGGAAACTATAGAGGTACTTTATCTCATGAAAACCCCCAACCATACATTCAAATTGTTAAGCTTCTGTGGAGGCAAGAAAGAAACTGTAGTAAAGCATAGTTGTATTAACAAACAGATAATAAGTAACAGAGATTAAAAGAAAGCCACCCAGGGTGGGTCTTGTTCCTGATCAGGTATAAAAGAACATCTGCAGATTACATACATACCATGCATATTCTGTTCAGTCAAGAGATATGACCAATAGCATTACAGTATCAATCAAAAGCATTGGAAAGAACAAAAGTTTAAGGAGTACAAAGCATTAGCCTTTTTCATGTATACCAATAGAACTCCATAACAAACAATGATGTGAGTCAATTTCTAACCAAGTAAAAGAATAATAAAGCAAATAAACACTGCAAAACAAGGCTTACATTTTCATTGTCACAAGCAATCATATCGCCAAAGGATACCTGAAAGATCCACCATGTATCAAAACTTATTTTCTTCTTTCAATATTAGATATATAAACTATTCCGAGATTTGAAGTGTGGCATAAGTGTAAAGAAAATAAGTAACAATTTTGTAATTAGTGATCAGAAATCAAACCTGATGACAGACACAGTAAGTGGGTTCATTTGGATCAATGGGTTGATCAATATCAACTGGAGAAGAGAAATCCTTTTTGAGGCCTCCTGGAGGTGGCATAAGCTCAAAGTCTCTGTCACGCTCGCGGTCCCAATCCCTGTCCCTATATTCAAGCCTCTTTGATTGAGGTGTTCCATATATAGGTTTGCGCTTTTCAGTTTTGAGGACCAAAGGTAATGGAGGAAGGACCGCAGGTTCATCAGCTGGTAATTTTCCCTCTGCAATATCATAGCACAGAAAGAATGATGACAAGTGAGGTTTCACTTTAAGAGGTTAATATGACATGGAATATTTCAAACTGTATATCTATGATGATTAAGCAAACTATCCATTACTGTTCTATTCCATAAAGCAAGGCTTAGCAATCGACGAATTTTTTTATTTTCGTTTTGGTGGTATCCAGAATAGGCATTTCATTGAACACACATATACTTTCTCTCATGTCATTAGTTTTCAAGAAATAGAGCTCATTTTGCAGTAAGACACTACAAGCATGTGGCCCACCTTGCTTCAGATCTTCTACGAAGTTGTTAAGATCTTCATCTAGGCGTTTTATGTGGCTATCTATCTGAAAAAAAAGTTTCCAAGAAATAGAAATATTGAGTCTAACAGTCAGAAATTAAATATGACAGTAAAAGACCTGATAAATTGAACTGCTGCATTGACATTTATCAGAGAAAACACATATTTTTACAACCTTTATGCAATTTCTGCTAAAAGATGATGTGACAACAAAATAATAAAAGACGCTTCAGCCAAAGGCCTTGTGGTCGAGCAGCATAGCTGTGGCCCCTCAAATGAGAGGTCTCAGGTTCGAACCCCAGTGTGAGGGCTTTGACTCTTTGTGCTTCAGTAGGTTGAGAAAGTATGTATGAACAGATACTACATCGTAATAGAGTCAATAGGATTCAAAAAATAAAATAAAAATAAAAGACGCTTCAAAAACTGTATATCTATGATGATTAAGCAAACTATCCATTATCTGTAAGGAAATGACATTTTGAAAATAAACATGAACCCATAATTCCAAGAAGAAAGCTAATTGTGCAGTTTAGAGAAACCAGCTGCAATGGAGAAATTACTATGGCAACAATCAAGTTTCAGATTCATGTTTTTTAAATTTCACTGAAGCAATTTTGCTTACTTCTTCCAGGCTACTTTGTTAATGGTAGTTTATAAGGGTTTCTACTGGAGGGCACTATTGTGGCAAGGCAGCAACTTGACCATGGTTTCAGTTGTCATAACAAAAAACAAAATGTGAGAAAGAAAAAAGCCAACTACATAGTTTGTCTCAGAAGCGTACATAAACAAAACAATGCCCTCTAAGTCAAAGTTTAAGAGCTTCTTTCTCTTTTATTCTGTTTACTAACAATAACAGATAACTAATGTTCCCCTATGCCCTCCAAGCATATAGAGATTAGAATATGAAACCCCCATAAAGAAAGACAACAATGGCCCACATACAAAGTTACTTCAACCAATAAAATAAATAGCAATGCATGCTTAAGAATTCAGAAATAGAACAACAAAGTTCTTACAAGGTCATGAGCTTGTCTTGCAAGCAAAACTTTCTCTGTGCAGAGGCTTAGTGCATTGTTCTGATTTGCCTCAATCTCCTTCCTCAACTTCTCAAAGGCTTCATCGTCCTCATAATTACTTTTCCTCGACCCATGAGTCTGAGAAGCTAATCCAACACAATAATTCGTCTGCTGCCTACTGTGGTTTATCATGGCTTCATTTCCATTTCATGTAAGCAGTTATACACTCATTAGAGTTAACTAATATAAAGCGTAACATTATCCTAAAATCCAACTTAAACTCAACAGTGTCAGTCAAGCTCAGTATGCAAGAAAAATAAAGAATTCACAAAAAAATGAAACGCAGATATATGTATAGGCATAGAGAAAGAGAAAGGAGAAACCTTGGGACCGCTCATCGAGTTCTCTAATAGTGTTGAGAAGTCTCTGAAGCTCAGCGGGCAATGTGTTTGAATCTAATTGCACAAATTGAGAAAGTCAATACCACATATAATCGAAAAAATAAATAAAATCAATAAATTTTTTAATCCCCGGAGGATAGCTAAAAATTGTGCTTACACTCCAAATAATCGTCGACAAAAACGCCAGTTCTAGCAATCGCCATGATTTTTCGTCGGATGATTCGAATTGATTGATCGTTGTTTCTCTAGGGTTTCCTCGACAAAACGGGAGGGAAAGAGAAGTTTGGGAATATACAGCGATACGACGACGTATGATGAAATGGTTCTTTGTATTCTCGTTATCAGTTTCTCGCTTCACAATTCCCTCGTAGAAGTTTAGAACGTGAGATCAACTTCAATTTTAAAATGAAATTAAAAATAACAAACAAAAAGTTACTATTATTAATTAACTAGTATTTAAACCCGTGCGATGCACGAAAAAATAATATAATGAGAACATACCCATAGACTATAATAAAATGATAATAATGTTTATCAAATTCATTTATAAATTACTAAATACTTCTTCATATATAATAGAGTTAATTACCAAAATGGTCCCTTAACTATAGCGAATTACCAATTTGGTCCTTGACTATTTTTTTTAACCAATTAAGTCCCTCAACTTTAAAAATTTTAACCAATTTGGTCCTCCGTTAGTTTGACCGTTAGTCAACCGTTAACTTGGGATCAAATTGGTAATTTTGTTATAGTCAATGGACCATTTTGGTAATTAACTTTAGGGGTGGGCAATTCGGTTTAGTTTTCTCGAATCGAACCGTACCGAACCGAACCGAAGTAATATACCGAACAACCAAACGATATTGGATTCTTGTATACCGAACGGTTCGATAAAAAACCCGATCCGATCCGATCCGAATTGTTCGGTAAAAAATTGAACTTAATCAAATACCGTTTTAATTTTTTTTAAAAAAATATAATAATAATAATAATAATAATAATAATAATAATAATAATAATAATAATAATAATAATAATAATAAATTAATTAATTAATAAATAAATAAATAAATAATCCAAGTCACTTGCTGCTTGCTCTGCCGTTCAGCTCATATTCTCACGGGTATCTCTCGTAAATGTTTTATTTGATTTCTTTATGGTTTGTTATAAAAAGTTCTATATTATGTGTTATGATGTTTACATAGTCGATATCCAAAGTCTAATATATAAAAAAAATAGCAATTCAAAGTTCAAACGGTATTCGGTTCGGTTCAGTTTTTACCGAACAACTCAGTTCGGTTCGAGTTTTTACCGAACCGTTCGGTATATAAGAATCTATTACCGTTCGGTTGTTCGGTATATTACCGAATCTAACTAGTTTGGTACGGTTCGGTTCGAGAAAATTGAACCGAATTGCCGACCCTTAAAGTTAATTACCAAAATGGTCTCTTGACTATAGCGAATTACCAATTTGGTCCCAAGTTAACTGTTGACTAACGGTCAAACAAACAATGACCAAATTGGTTAAGATTTTTAAAGTTGAGGGAAAGAATTGGTCAAAAAAAATAGTCAAGGACCAAATTGGTAATTTCGCTATAGTCAACAGACCATTTCGGTAATTAACTCTATATAATATTTGTAGTTGAGGAACCAGACTCGGCATCTTCTTCGCATATAAGTATTTCGAGACCATATGGACTACTAACTTTATAAACAACAGCATACAGTTGTCCATGGCAAATTATATCGTGCACCGCGCGTCAAAACGACGTCGTTTTATTTAATGAAAAGAAACGCCATCTGTTTCGCGTTGTTCTGCGCTATTCCGCAAAAAGTAACTCTGTTATTCAGTTTCATTTTGTATACACTGTAATTTCATTTCGATATAACTACAGTCTCATTTCAATATAACTACAGTTTCATTCGATATTATAACACCCAAATATGTGAAAATGTTATTTAATTTTATTTTATATACACCATAGTTTCATTAAAACACAACTACATGATCATTTCGATATAACTACAGCTTCATTACACAATATACACTCAAAAATGTGAAATGTTATTCAGTTTCATTTCAACACACCTACAGTTTCATTTCAATTCAATTGCAGTTTAAATTTATAATATAAAAATAATATGTGAGGCAGTGTCAGTTTAGATACACTATAGTTTCATTTCAACACAACTGCAGTTTCACTTCAATTGAATTGTAGTTTAAGTTGATAATATATAAAATAATACGTGAGACAGTATCGGTTTAGATACACTGTAGTGTCAGTTGATAATTAATATACCAAATATGTGTGCTCCGTTAATTGTAACGGCGCCGTTTTGACCGCGGTCCACGATATAACGACTGGTTGTCCATGAACAAAAACTGATTTCTTTAGAAGCAAGCCAACATTTTATAGTGTTTGACTTTGACTTTTATTAATTGTCATTGCATAATATAACATCAAAGGGAATTGTGTTCTTGTGAATTTCAATGACAATCTTGGATCTAAAGGAATCATTGACAGCCCAGCAATCAAAACCTTTGTTCTAGCATTATGTCCAGCTAAAATTGTAGCTTCAACAACATGCTCTCCCAACTTAGAAATAATCAATCGAGTTCCATTTATAAATTATTAAATACTTCCTTGTATACAACATTTGTAGTTGACGAATCAAACTATGAATCTTCTTTGCATACAAGTACTTTCAGACCTCATGGAATATTTACTCTATAAAAAGTAACACATAGTTGCCCATGTACAAAACCATTTTTTTTTTAAAGGAAGCCAACATTTGATAGTGTTTGATTTTTTTATTTTTTATTTGGAAAGGATAGTGTTTGACTTTTATTAATTGTCATTGCAAAAGATAACATTAATGGGAACTGTCTTATTGTGATTTAAATGGCAATCTTGGATCTAAAGGCGTCAATGACAATTTAGGAATCAAAATCTTTGTTCCAGCATTATGTCCAGCTAAAATTGTAGTTTCAACAACATGATGCAAGGTATTGTACTATAAACAACATTATCTACACCAGGACTATGTGGTCTATGGTACCCGGGTTGGACTTCCATTTGGAAGGTTGTAAGTTCGAGTCTCAGTGGAGGCGTTATTAGCTCTTTGTGTTTCAGTAGGTTGTTAAAGTATATGCACAGATACTACAATGTAATAGAGTTAGTAGCATTCAAAAACAACATTATCTAGAAAAAATATATATATAAAAACTCAAATAAATGAATATTGATTAGTAATAATAAATTCTACACAATCAAAAATAGAATATACTTACCCTTTCTCAAAATACAAAGTGGCTTACTAAATGAAACCTTAAAAACTCCTACCGATATTTACTTTTTAATTTGTGATGCTTGATCATTTCTTTTTTTTTTTTTAATGAGAAATTCCATTGCATAAAACTTTATCAATATTTTCTATATTAAAAAAAAGGTTAGCCAAAAAATAAAGATTAAATAATCATAAACATAGATTAAATAAAAATAATATTTTGTAACTTTTAAGTCTTTATGTTTTTATTCTGAATTATAATTTATTACTTAATATCCATGTATTTATTTGAACACATCTTAAAATATTCTAACTAAATATTCATTACTTCAATGAATACAAAAAAAAAAAAAAAAAAAAAAAAAAAAAAAAAAAAAAAGCAACACAATTATTTAAATAATTATTAAAAATTACACAACAAATGTAATATCAATAAAATTAGATAAAATATAAATATTAGGACTATGTGGTCTAATGGTACCCGGGTTGGATTTCCATTTGGAAGGTTGTGAGTTCAAGCCTCAGTGGAGGTGTTATTGGCATTCAATGTATATGAACATCTACAACATTGTAATAGAGCTAGTAGCAGTCACAAAAAAGATAAAATATAAATTTTTCAAAGAATAAAATAAAAGTAAAAAATTAACATTAATTTCTTAAACTAATTTTATAACACATATTTAAATGGTACTGACTCTACTTTCTCAACCTAATGAAACACATAGAGAGGCTCCCAGATGGGAGAGGTCACTACATGCCATTTGACCACAATGTGCTTGGCGCAAGTGTTCTCATATGATCCTAAATATATATATATATATATATATATATATATATATATATATATATATATATATATATATGTGTGTGTGTGTGTGTGTGTGTGTGTGTGTGTGTGTGTGTGTGTGTGTGTGTGTGTGTGTGTGTGTGTGTGTGTGTGTGTGTTAAAGTTTCAGAACGGGTGAATGCTTCCCGTGCGGGTGATTAATGTGCGCGAGTTTTGTACTTAATGTGTGTGAGTCTTGTGCTTAATGTGCGTGAATTTTGTACTTAATGTGCGTGGGTGTGTAATGTTTAATGTGCATGAGTTTTGTACTTAATGTGCGTGAGTGTTGTGCGTAATGTGTGTGATGTTTGTGCTTAATGTGCGTGAGTGTGTACTTAATGTGAGTTGTTGTTGAAACTTTAAAGTACATGAGTTTTATGCTTAATGTGCGTGAGTTCTTAATATGCGTGAGTCGTGTGCTTAAGGTGCGTGAGTTTTGTACTTAATGTACGTGAGTGTGTACTTAATGTGAGTTGTTTTTAAAACTTAAGGTGCATGCATGTGTTCTTGTGATTAACATGCGTGACGCTTGTGCTTAATATTCGTTAGACTTGTACTTAACATGTGTGAGACTTGTGTTTAACATGCATGAGGTTTGTGTGCTTAATGTGCGTGTGTTGTGTACTTTAAGTGCGTCAGATTAATGCTTAACGTGCGTCCACCCGCACAACCGCACAGGAAGCCTCAAATGCACCTGACCCCTTCCATATATATATATATATATATATATATATATATATATATATATATATATATATATATATATATATATATATATATATATATATATATATATATATATAGTTAATACCCAAAATGGTCCTCTGACTATTAGCTAATACTTAATTTTGTCCCAAAGTATTAAAAGTACCCGATTTAGTCCTCTTACTTTTAAAACGGTACCCAATGTGATCTTTCGTTACAATTGCCATCTATTAACCGTTATGTTGAAGGGCATATTTATCTTTTAATAAATCAACCACGTTTCCTCTTCCTAAAATGAAGCTGCATAGACCTTTAAAACCCTTATCCTCCACATCGCACAGACTAAGCCCTATCCTCCCCATCGCATAGACTAAACCCTTATCCCCCCATAGAGCCGTGAATTGATTTGCAGAAGACGGAGCAATTTGTTGCTGAAATGTCTCTGCCAAGGAGGAAGCAAAACACAGAGATTTCTTCATCATCTTCTGGGTCAGTGAAGCAAAGAATATATTTTGGAGAAGTGATTCCAATTCTCCATTGTAATTGCGGTAATGAGTTAACCCTTCAAACCTCCTGGTCGAAGATTTTGGAACTGTGTTTGTATCAATGTAAGCACATTAGCATTATTTTTGAAATTTTTGACGTTTGGAAGGAGATTTGGTTCACAAACCCTGTGTTGGTTCAGCAGATTTGGAAGCAAATTTTTGTCATGTTCATTTTTTTTTTGTTTTTTGTTTTTGTTTTGTTTTGTTGTTGTTGTTTTTATTTATTTACTAATTAATGTAGAGCTGTTGACAAATTTGTATTTTCATACATTAATACAGGGCATGCACTCATGTGGTTTTTTTGATTGGTTTGATCCTGCAATGTGTTCACGGTTAAAGAAGATCATTCCCGGATTGTTGAAGAGGGTGAACCGAGATGAGGAAGAAATTAAGAGGCTCAAAGCATTATTACAAAGTGTAAATGGTCCAAAGAAACATTGCAAATGCAAATGGCTCAAAACATTGTTCTTAGGAGCAATAGGAGTAGTAATAGGAGTTGTAATGATTTATGGCTTGGCAAAGAAATGTGAAAAACCTAGTGATCTTTATAGGTTGCCATGAACTTATGTAATTACTCCATATTTTGTATTTTCATTGCTCACTATATAATTTAACTTCTATTCCATATTTCGTATTTAAATTGGTCATAATAAAGAGATTGAATAAATTGGGCAAAAAAGAGATTCCATTCATTGGTGTTTTCTAACACTGGCAACAAAAAACCATGGCAACAAAAAATAATTTCATGCTAAAGTTGCCAACCAGTTTGATGTTTTCTAACACTGGCAACAAAAAACCATGGCAACAGTTTGTTTTTTTTTTTCCTCTCTACTACTGTCAACAAAAAACAAAACCTTCTAAAAGTAACCACGGCAACATTCTAAAACAAATCAGTATAACAAAAACAATCCAGATCCAGATTACATTCAATTTCAATAGGTTCACTGAAATTCCCTTTAAATTTGCTCTTGAACCCCATGGTAGACCTTGTTTTTTATTTTCTTGTAGGTGCTTGCTTTGTCTTCACCTATTTTGTCTTCACTTGTTTTCTCAACCCAAGAGTCTTCTGTTTTTTGGCAGTCGGGAGAGGAGGTTGTTAAATTGGCAGTTCTTGATTATTCACCACCTCATGTCCTTCTTCAACATGTAATAAGCACATTAAATGTATGTAAAACACTACTACCTGCAAAGTGTAAAACAAGTTGTCACAAGAATGTAGGTAAAACACCACTACCTCATATCCTACTTCATGTTCATCATCTTCTGGGAAAAATGACATATGTAGGCTAGGCACCACCTCATGTCATCCTTCAACCTGTTACAAACACATTAACCTATAACATGCTCAAATTTTAAAACAAACTGTCACAATAACCCAAGCTACAAGTACCTCATGTGCTGGATTTTCAGGAAGATATTCTGGAATCTCTGATGCAGTTTCTGGATTAGGCTGGGATGGTGCTTCCATTGCAGGCTGTGATGATGGGGTTGGCTAAAAGAAAAAATTTAAGCAATTAGATAGGTATAGAAAAAATTTCAGCAATAAATTAGATGGCTAAAATGATTACCCGATTGCCATTCAGAGGACATTTTCTGCTGTTATGGCCTTTTTGTTTACACTTGGTGCAATGCAAAGTCACATGTGTCCTTGATAAATGAACCCCATCTGTTGTAAGCTGATTTGCACCTTTTGGTTTTTGTTTAATCTCATCTGCTCCCTTTTTCCTTAGTTTTTTAGGCCTTCCAGCTCTTGCAGTGTAGATAGGTGGTAGTGGTGCCACTAATTGTGTTTCAGGCCATCCATTGGGACCAGCCATTGGATGTATGCATCTTCCATAAACTGCCAAGTATGTTTCCTTCTTGTAACATACATTAACATAGTCAATAGGGCTTTGTTTTTTCATCCATATGGCAGCAATAGCATGTTTGCAAGGAATTCCAGTGAGATCCCACTTCCTGCAAGAACACATTCTTCTTTCCAAATTTACTTTCTCATGTTCATCTGTATACATCCCCTTCACTTCAAGTAACATTAAGTCACACTGAATAGGCATATATCCCCCAACACCTTTCTCAATTTCAACTAATTTTCTAAATATATTTGGGCAAATTGGCCCTTTCCACTTCAATGCTTCTTCCCTTTTCTCAAATAACCTTGTCATTAATAATTCCCTCAAGCTTTCAAGACAGTTTAGTAAAGGATTTTCCCTTGCATCTAGTATCATTGCATTAAAGCATTCAGATACATTATTCACCAACATATCACACAAAGCATGCTCATTGAAATGTGATCTTGACCATTCAGGGTGTTTGTCTGTTAGCCATTCAAATGCAGCAATATCCATTCTTTCCAGATTTCTCATAGCTGTAGTATACTGGTTTATTGTTGTAGCCCTAGCAGCAGTCCACATTGTATCTTTAATAGCTTTCCCATTAAAACCAGCAGCATTCATATTTGCACACAAATGTCTGACACAAAATCTATGGCTGGAATTTGGGAAAACTTCATGAAATGCAGGAACTAATCCTTTTTGTTTGTCAGAAACAAAGGTCAGGTAATGCTCACCAACTTTAGTAATCTCCAAGTCATTTTTTAGTAATCGCAAAAACCAAATCCAAGAGTCTTTATTCTCTCCCTCAACAATTGCATAAGCAATTGGAAAAATACCATCATTAGGATCTAATGTTGTTGCAGTGAGCAACTGTCCCCCATACTTGGACTTAAGATGGCAGCCATCAACTCCTATAATCTTCCTACAATGCTTAAATCCCTGTTTGCATGCATCCCAACATATATACGACCTAATAAACCTCTCTTTTCCTTCATCTTCAACCAGATTACTCGATTTGACTATAGAAGTTGTGTTTGGGTTAGTTCTTTGTATCTCAAGGTAGTAGCCCCAAAACTTGTTGAAATAATCTTCAAGGTCTCCTTTAATTGCATCCCTAGCAAGCTTCATGGCCTTTATTCCTTGCCTCTTGGTTACAGTGAAATGCTCATCACTAGCCACTTTGGCCCTAAACTCCTTGGTTGTCCATGTAGAATGGCCTTTTATTTCATTCTTCCACCTTTTGGCCAACGTAGTTGCCTTTACCATTTTGTTTTGTTTCACCCAAGGACACTCAACATGGGAATTATTAAAGGTTGTAATCCTCCAAGTATTAGAATGAGGGTCTAACCTAAGAGTGATTGTCCAAGGACATCCATTTTGTTTGCAATTGACTACACACCTAACATTATCATTTTTGCAGAATTTTAAATCCTTCCCAGCCTTAAAAGCATAATTTAGTATGGCCTGTTTAAAATCAGCTTTAGAAGCAAATTGTAAACCAATACTAAATTCAGGGTATTCCATGTCAGTACTAGCCCTAAACTGTGGCAATTTCTCTACTACCCCTTCTTCATCACTACCATATGGTGTCCCTTCATCAGAAAATTGAACCTCTTTGTCAATATTTGGCCTTGCAACTTGTTTTTCTTCCACACCTTTACAACTTGCAAATAAACCATCAAACTCCACAGTTGGATCAACTGATTTGGCAAATTCAATGTCATCAAGCATATCTCTATTGCACCCATCATCACCTTCTTCATTGTAATCAATATTACAATCATACAACACATCCTCACTAACCTCATCTTCATTTACTGCATCCAATTCACCCAAACCAACCCATAACTCAACTTCTCTTGCCTTACCTTCAAAATCTATTAAATCCCAAGCCTCTACATATGAAATCAGCTTAGTCAATTTATCTCCATCCAATGCATATATATTGCAATCCTCAATGTTGTACCCTAAGTCATTAAGTAGATCCTTAACAACCATAAAACCCCATTCATCTACTTCAACATTGTCAAAGTAATCTGTGTACCCTCCCACATAGGTAGTAGGCTCACAATGGCTTAACTTTCCCCATGTCTAATCTTAACTGCAAATACTTCATCTGATTGTCCTGATTTCAGTAGTTAAACAAAAAAATAAATAAATAAACAGAGAAGCATAGGTTATACAGCAGCAGTAGTTAAATGCACATCAAAGCTGGAAGTATGTACATCAAAGCTGTACCTAATAAAACATAAATAAAGTAGTACATATTCATCAATCAAGATTAGTGGATGATACATAAATATAGTCTGAAATATTCACAGTGGATTGTTGGATGATATAAGTTTTTATTTTCCTATTGAGAAAACAGTGTAGATATCTTGCTTGCCTTTAGGAATTATGGTGAACAGGCAGGCAGCAGGTGCCATGAGCCAACCCACCAATGAGGATTACTGAACTAATGGTAAAGTAATGTAACAACTCAATTAAATATGTGGTCCCCAACAAGAATTAAATATACAGGCTCCCTAATAAAGACAACAAAATGCACATGGCAGTGTTCATATAGCAGCAGTTCGAGGATGCATTAAACAAAGAATCCACACAACATACACTAAAGCAATGAATAAAGGAATAAAGCTGGAAATTATATAGCAGCAATTCGAGGCACATGGTCCCTACCATTAACACATTACTCAATTCAACTACAAACACTTACAGGAAATCACATACAATGGACCCTACACTGCCATTCGAGTACTATACATACCAAAAATGTCAAATTTAAACTGACTTTGGGCCAAAAAAAAAAGTGAAACATTCAAAAAGCAAGGTCATGAATCACATACCGTAAATGGGGATTTCACTAATTCCAAGCCTTCTACTATACCCCATTCTTGAAGCAAAATCAGCAAACCCTAGCTAATCTTCTTCCCACTTCGAGTTGAATTCCAGTTTAAGCTTCGATTTCAACCATTTTCATACTTGAGTTGAATTCCAGTTTAAGCGAGAGAGATGGTTAGCCCTTTTGGAGTCGTGAAAGAGATGTTCAGTTTGTGTGCCCTTTTGGAGTCGCAACAGAGATTCAATTTGTGTGCCCTTTTGGAGTCGCGACAAAGACCAACAGAAGCAACGGGTTTGACCTCAGCTCATAATGACGTTTATGCCCTCAATATAACGGTGGCTAAACGGGAATTCTAACGTAGAACCAAATTGAGTGCAATTTTAAAAGTAAGAGGACTAAATCGGGTAATTTTAATACTTCGGGACAAAATTAAGTATTAACTAATAGTCAGAGGACCATTTTAGGTATTAACTATATATATATATATATATATATATATATATATATATATATGTATGTATTTCTTTTAACTAAACCAGCCAAGTAGCCCAATAAAATCAGTATCACACATATACAACCCAAAACACTAAGCCCAAATATACAGTCCATACCCGACCCAAACACTACCCATATAAAAACCAAACCCACACGTCTAACTCAAATTCGGCAAATTATGTGGGCCATAATAAAAAGTACATTTTTAATATACTAAATGTACATTATTTTTGTACTGAATGTACATTATACAATATAATGTACACTCAGAACAAAAATAATGTACATCACCTGAATACAATGTACATTATTTTTATACTGAATGTACATTATTTTACCGTAGACAAAATATGGTCCACACAACTTGTGTAGACCATGGTCCACACAATAATGATTGCTCAAATTCCCCTCCCCCATTTCCATGGAAAATTATGTCGTGCAACCGTGTGCACCATGCATAGTGCACACGGAATTGGATTCATAATTTCTGTATTATAGATTTATAATTTTTATATTATAGATTTATAATTATTGAACTCTATATTCACAATTACAAAATTCTATGTTCATAATTTTCAATGTTCATATTCTCAATTGTTGAACTCTGTATTCACAAATCACTGAACTATATGTTCATAAGTTGATAACTATACATTATAGAAATTATGAATCTATTGTATAAAACTTATGAATCCAATTCCATAGACACCTTACATGATGCACACGGTTGCACAGCATAACGCTCCCATTTCCACCGTCTTCTTCGCCCCTCTGCCCAAAGCCCTCGCCCTCACTAGATATGGAAACCAAACAAATTTCTTAGCCCCCAAATCTCAATCCAAGCTACGCATGACCCAAAATACTATTAAAAAAACTGCTTTCAATTCCATCATTTCAAACTCTTAAACTCAGTACACAACTGATTCGAACCATTCTACAATAAATAGATTGACCGAGATGGTCTTCAATGGCAACGAATGAAATATCCAACAGTTTCAGGTAATTACAAAAGTTCCTAACAACTAGTTTAGACCAGTCTCATCGGATACGTCCTGTAGTACTTGTATATTCCCTATGAATACAAAATGTAGTTTCATTACAAAACAACTAAAGTATCATTCATAATTCAACTATACTATAATTTCTTTTGACAATATACACTAAATATATGAGACATATTATTCAGTTTCATTAAAACACCCCTAAAGTATCGTTCTAATTCAACTACATATTCATTTGACAATATACACTCAATATGTAAGACCTACTATTTTGTTTCATTTTATATATCCTAAGCACATTTTAAACGCAAAATCAGTTGAACATAATGATGGTCGATACTTGGCAAACTATTGGTCCTCATAGTACTGTATGAACCATAACAAAAAGTACATTTTAATATACTAAAAGTACATTATTCGTGTACTGAATGTACATTATATAAAATAATATACTTTCAGTACTCAAATAATGTATTTTTCCTTATTACAATATACATTTTTAATATATTAAAAATACATTATTTGTATACTAAATGTATATTATTTTATAGTATAGTCCACACAACGCCATGGTTCACACTGATTGGTTGATACTCCATATGGGCTTCTTAAGTACAATTTTGAATTTCTTTCAATGGCTAATGGGCTATCTATTTGGTGATCTGTTGAAAGGCAAATTATGCTATGGACTCGTGTCTACTATATGCATGGTGGACACGCTGTACATTCATAACTTTTATACTGTACATTCATAATTTCTATACTGTAGATCCATAATTTCTATACTGTAGATTTATAAAATCTATACTGTAGATTCATAATTTCTATACTGCACATTCATAATTTCTGTACTGTATGAATCTACATTATAAATTTTATGAATTTACAGTATAGAAATTATGAATTTATAGTATAAAAATTATGAATCTACAGTACATAAATTATGAATGTGCAGTATAGAAATTATGAATCTACAGTATAGAAATTATGAATGTGCAATATAAAAATTATGAATCTACAGTATAGAAATTATGAATCTACAGTGTGTTCACCATACACATGGTGGACACGAGTCCATAGCATAACGCTGACTCCCTATTGAAATGAATCATCGATCATGTTCCAAACTATTTTCTAATCTGCCACATTATATTTTAAAAAATAATTATATCATTTTATTTCTTTAATTAATTAATTAATGCATTAAGCCAAAGATGCAGTCTTTGTTATCAGAAGAGTAAATACCAGCGGAAGTCCTCTGACTTTGGTGGCACTGCCACTTTTAGTCCTCAACTTTTAAATCGACCACTTTTAGTCCTCTTACTTTTTGTTTCTAGCCATCTATGGTCCTTTCGTTAAACTTGACCCTCTAATGCCGTTTTCTAAAAAATAATTAAGTCCTTTCATAATTAATTTATTAATTATTGTGTTTAATTTTCTCATCAGAATAGTCAAACAATGGTTTCCCAGCTATGAACGTGTACAAAACCAGCTCGTGAATCAAAATGGCGTACAAAAGCTGGTACGAAGGTTGTGCCAAAACGACGTTGGAATATCTCGGTATGACTCGGCAAACATAATAATTAATAAATTAATTATGAAAGGACTGAATTATCCTTGAGAAAACGGCATTAGATGGTCAAGTTTAACGGAAGGACCATAGATGGCTAGAAACAAAAGGTAAGAGGACTAAGAGTGGTTAATTTAAAAGTTGAGGACTAAAAGTGGCAGTGCCACCAAAGTCAGAGGACCTCCGTTGGTATTTACTCTTATCAGAATATTGTACGTCATATATAATATTTGTCACAATCTTCTTTTCAATTATATTAAAGTATACCTTCTTTTCAGGTAAGCAAATGCGGCTGATGACTGATCAGCATTTTATTTTACTTGTTTTTCGAATAACCGAAACCATAAGCGCACAATCTTTGAAGAATTCAAATTTGAATTACGTGCTGTAATCTTGTCGATTTTCAATTTCTATCAGCAACGTTTTATACCTACCACTTGGTTGTTGACGTGCCTATCTAAAGTAGACCATTTATATCTTGGACCAAGATTTATATAGCATTATAGACTCTGAATTGAAATGACAAGTTACAAAATTCATATTAGTAAAGCATAGTCGGATTTTGGGTGTGCAAGATGGACAAAAGTACATGGTCTCGATTTTTAGAGGACGCAATATTTATTTTTAACCTAGTTATTTAAGAAATGAAAAAAAAAATTCTACAATTAATCTTAAAACTCATCCATTTTTTCCCAAATCAATTCTCTTTCCTAACATAAAACTCCAAAAACACTGCTTGTAAGGTATAGAATCTCATAACATAAAACACAAAAAATCACAAAACAAGACACATAACATTATTGACCCTGTATTGAAACAAGGT